ATGTATGTATGTATATGCATATGTATATGTATATGTATATGTTTATGTCTTTGCATATGTACCGCAGTACATGACTATCATATTTCTCATCAGTAAATACTGGTGTCGAATTTATCCAATTATGCCGGTATATTTACTAACGGAAGTATCTCATGAATCCATTGGATTGAAGTTGTTTGAAAAGCTGTCTTAATAGGAGAAACTGGTCGACAGGTCTGTAGTACCGATAACGCACACTAGGAAGGAGTCGGCAGTATGAGGACACTGTTTCAACGTGTAGGCTTTCCGTTTCTTAATGCGGTAGAACAACTCTAGTAGGACGGATGACAAATCATACATCGTTAGAATATCTGTGGACCATGAAGCCCTGAGTCCACAAAACGAGGTGAAGTGTGGGGTCAGACTCCCGCGGAAGTGCACTATTGGAAGCTAGGACTTTGAGCTTATTAACCTCTCCAACAATCAGGCCTCGGTCTGTATGCTATATATAGCTACATTGGCTTAACCAAAACCCAACATTCGTTGGCTATATATAGTCACATTGGCTTAACCAAAACCTAAACCCTAAAACCCCCGACACCCATACCCCCAGTACATTGTTGTGAATAGTCGTGTGCGTCGTACAGCCACATACAGCACCCCCAGCCCAATCTCGACCCAGCCAGTACTACGCTCGGATACAACACACCACCTTGGTTGACATTTACATTTCAAGCAAGTTCTGTGCTAGCTCTCTCTCTCGTAAACTGGACGGACTGTAGCACACGAACAGGCGCAGACATTCCGGTCTACCCACAAGTGTAGATAGTATAGGCGATTGTATTGGCTATGGACTGTTCTGTCACACACTTTGCAATCCTTCGGCAACACTTCAAGGAACCGTCGAAGGGTGTTATGAAGGAGATACCTTCAGCACTCGTTGAATCCTTCCCAACGGCCGACCTGGGACCTGGTTTCAATTAATGTTCGGTACATATATTCAACAATCATCGGCCTCGACTGGCATTTGCCAGCAAACACTATCGTCATTGTCCGTTCAAGTTGGTAGACTTTTTTGATGCCCTGTTTCACTAATACAGCTACCGCTCCATGCAGACTACTTCGTACTATAGTCTACATAGCATGTAGTACATATTTGTCTACATAGTATGTAGTACATATTAGTCCACATGGTAATCTATTCTTACGCAGGCTTTGCATTGTATGCGCTCGCTCGGACTTTTGTTTGACCGATTTCGTCACACAGGCACACACCCTCTTCAGCGCTGCAGAGCCTTGTCTTGGTTTTCCGCTTGACTTACAATACATCCAAGTACTCTCCCCAATATCCGTGCTGGACCCTACACATGGTCATATCTCTATCTCTACCCCCTGCCTCCATAGTAGCATGTCTCATTTTTGATGATCGGTATAGCTTTCAAGATTCCCATTATTCCCAAACACACGCTCCCTAGCAGTTGTGTTGCTCTGGCATGTGTGCATACCCATGTGGCCATCCCGTCGCTGCCGTCTGACTACACCCACTGTCACTGTCATTGCGACATACACCTCGATGCCAATCACCCCCTACGCTCATTTGCCAGTAGCCCCAGCCCACACACCGACAACCGGTCCAACGGTTACGCTTGTGGGAGTTCTGTTCAGCTAGGATGTGCTCATATCCATGCGGCTACCCCGTCGCTGTCTCTGACTACACCCCCTGACCTTGCCACCTTCATCTGTGTGTACGCTATGTAGCTGTCTGCTGGGTATTAACACTATTCACTGCTCTTGCCACCTTCAGCTGTGTGCACGCTAGCGACCTTTTGAGTTTTAACACCATTCACTGCTCTTGCCACCTGCAGCTATGTGTACGCTAGCTGCCTGCTGGGTAATAACCCCATTTGAGAATTGGGTAACGCACTTGACGGCTGACCACTACGCTTGTTTGTCGGTAGCCCACACGTCAACAGTGTCGGGTGTGCGTGGGTAGCACATGGCGTCTGGTCGATGTGTGCAATGGCCCATTTCCGATCGGTGGTACATACGGGGCGTTCATAATGCAATTGGTTGAGCTCATTGCGTAAACCCTGAA